TTCAAGTAGGACATGGAGTCCAAAATATGAGCAGAAAATTAAACTTGACTAAAAACTAAAAAACTAAAACTACTAAAGTGTAAATTAAATATAAATAGTGCAAAAGGTTTGTGCGTTGTAAGACTACTGCTGCTGTACTGTGTTTTGTCCTCTCTCACAACAGGAAAACGCCAGGAATTAGGTTTCATTAGTCTACACTACAGGTATTTTGGTAAAATACTTAAATCTATGTCGCTCTTAGTAGTTTCGAGCAAGGGGAGAAGAAAGGAGAATTTCCATAAAGAGCTCATTGTCACTGCGGGTCTGTCTGCTTTCTTCCATTGTTTTAGATGTATCAGTAAAATATGTTAATTTGAACCCTTTTGTGATGCAGGGAATGTAATTCTTCCTTATATATTTTAATTAGGCCATTTTACACTCTATCGTGAAATATGCAGGGAATTAATCAAAATTACCAAAACCTAAACACCGTCTGGGTTCTGTTTGAGAGATTAAATTATCCACAGGAGCTCTTTGATAAAGTCACGTCAAACCTCCAGAAAAAAGGAGTGTTTCTAGCAGATAAAAATGTATATGGTCTGTACAACTGGAACAACTCATAAGGACGATTCAGGATATTCGTTTTACAGAGTTATACAACAAGGCTGAGTTGTCTAACCAAAGTTAAAAAATGCAACAGAATCAAGTTGGATTATTAACATTTATTCACTCTTGAATACACAATAGATTGCATGATGGAATGGTAACACCACACTGATTAATAGCAGGCCCTAGAGTAGATTTTTTAAGTTATAAAGCAAATTCTTAATGGTTTTTACTGAACTACCTTTATCAACTTCTATACAGAGCAGCAAACTAAGACAATTTAAGTCTGAAGTCACTAAGTACACCAGACAAAACAGGACGTGTGGGACACACACTAAGTATATGAAACTGACTGATAAAACTGTGGTAAATTAAAAGAACACATCAAAATGAGACAGGAGTACATAAACCCGGAGAAAGGCACCTCTGGCAAGAAAAGAGTGTTGCAAACTAGGTAATTTAGTGTGTATTTACAGGTTTATTAGCTATTAATAATATAAGATCATCTAAATCTCAACAGCTATTTACCATCTCAGTGATTGTGAAAATATTATTTCCTTGACACTTACTCATTCTTTCATTCTCATACGCATATAAACAACAGTCTATATATTACAGGCCATCTATATTTAATATTAAAATACAATATTATAAAGATAGTGAGAAAGCAGCATTGACATTTGGCAATAGCCGGAGATTCCCCTAAGCGTTGTAGGTCTTGATCTTCTGTGTTATGGCTCCACAGCAGATTGGACACTTGGTGAGCGACGCTGAACACTCTTTACAAGTAACCAGATGACCACATGGAATTAAGACAATACAAATATCTCGGTCCATACATATTTTGCACTGTCTCTCCCTCTGTAGCTTCCGTAGTTTCTCCAGTGGGTCCTCCTCTGTAAGAAAGAGAGGAGGGGGTCAAAATGTGTTGCCTCATATTTAAATCACTGCTTCGTAGGCTTTTATTTGTGTAGCCAACAACAGGTGTACAGTACCTTGCTCTGCTGCTTCGGCAGCATCACTCTGTGGTGGGGAGTTAATACAGTCTTCCATAAGTTCTTCCAGGCTGGAATAGCCTGAGCTTGTCCTACTGATTTTCTCCAAGATGGTCCTTTCCACCACCCTGGGCTCCAAACCCATCACGATGGCCTTCTGAGCCATGGAAGACTGCAGCACCTCTGTACGCAAAGAGGAAACATCAGCATTCACAACTACTTGTACTTATTTTAATTTGTTACCGGTATATTGTATTTATATGCCATGTCATTGACTTCTAGTACAGGAGGAATTTTACATTTTTAAATGTTCAAAAAGGGTTAGTCAAATTAGAAAATATAAATGTTTACCATTCCTATTTCCTGAAAATCCATTTTGATGCCTTGAAGTCTGGAAACAAACATGGTCATAGTTATTTTCAGAATAATGTAAGTAAAACAAAAGCTTACTACAGGTAACAAAATCTTTGAATACTAATTTTACACGTAGCTAAATGAGGTATATTTGTCCAGAGAACACCAAACAGTACAGTAATGAGTATTATAATTTGAAGATGTGGATGTCTTTAGGAATATTTTTTTAGTACAAAATTCCCTCCTCAAGTGCTCCAATGGACAGTGTTTGCTTGCTGAGCCACAGGGACAGTAACATAAAGGAAGGAATTTGGTACTGTACTTTCGGAAGATAACTACAGTACTTGATTTGTTCAAACTGATGAATCAGCATATTAGCTTCAGCTGAATTGAAGTAAGTTTTAACTCTGGACTGTGGATTTTTTAAGAACAGTGAACATATCCTTTAAATGGCTGGAAGCTATGAAGCAGATTGACAGGGAACCAGGAGAGAAATAAGATTAAGGCAAGAAATTGGGAGAATGCTTTTATATGCATTGCAATAAATGCACTACACGTGAAAACCACATGCACCTTCAGGTGGTCTGTAATCAGATTTTTCACCTACCCAATACCATATTTTTATATATTTTTAAAGCTTTTTTTTAATATTGTAAGCTTTCTTACTGTGTATATGCGTCCACATCTTACATACTTCCACAGTTGTGGAAAGTTACTTTTTTTATTTCGATTTGAGCCACGTTTTGTATTTAAACAATACAAAATGAATAATGATGAACACACTGCTGTCACTACAACATATTTGCTCCTCTGGATCTTTGTCAGGCACGCATTTAAACACATAGTTAGAAACCAGGTTAAAGACAACCAGTGTTCATCAGGTTCTCCAAGTCTTTATCCTGATTAAGAAAATATTGTTTCTTGTTTACGTGAGGTTTACAAAATCAAATTACTTGTAAAAAAAAAAAAACAGTTACTGAAGTTCATATAAGTTCACTGAATGCTTACAGCTCTATTTCGCCGTGGGTCTTGCAGTTGAATGCTGTTGACAAATTCTTGTCCCTTCTCTGCCAACAGGAAACTGCATCTGATTAACAAAACAAACATAATATTGTATTTACACAAAATGTTACAATAAAAAGAAAAAAGAAAAAAACACGTGCGTGCGTGTGTATGTTTCGAAGAAAGAGCATTATGGTTAATCTTACCCAGGATAGTGTTTAGCATGTTCTTCCCAAGGGTCTTCCTCAGGCTGCCATCCTTTTAAACCGCCACCACAACGGAAACACAACACATTGTCTCCCGTCCCTGCAAGAACACACAGAATGTAAACTTAAATTCATTCATAGCTATAATCACATACACGAGAAAATATTGAATGTTGCTGAATGTTTCTTCAGTCCCAAGACTATGTCGCCCTTCGTCAGACATCAGTACTCTACCTGTGCTATAGAAGCCAGCTCTGGCAAGCCTCTCTTGGTCTATAGGGTGCTGGACACCTGCAAAGCTACCAAGCCTCTCCTCAAAACTCCCCATGGGGACATGAGCGTTTGCACGTTGCTGGCTGCTGCTGTCCTCCTCCTGTGTACTCCCCAGGAATGGGATGTTGCCCACATCATGCCCAAGGATGAAGAAGCAGTGGGGGTAATGTTTGGTGTGTTCTTCCCAGGCATTGTCCCCAGCTTCCCAGCTGCCTAGCATGCCACCACAGCAGAAACACTGCACCCGGTCGCTCTCCCCTAAGTAGTAGAGGCCGGCTTGGGCCAGATCTCTTGGTCTCACAGGAGCAGTGGAGGGCCAAGAAGAGAATGTCTGAAGCCTAGCCTCTTCACTCTTCATGTGAGGGGCCCTTGGATAGGTGGTCTCATCAACCACCTCTCCTCTTCTCAAACGAAATTCCATGTCCTCTGCTGCTTCGTTGTAGATGGAACCATTAGTCATTGTGGTATCAGTAATCGGGTTAAAACCGGTGCGGTGGGTGCAGCTGAGAAACCTGCATGATGGGGAAACCTGTAACAACAATATGATTTATGTATTTAGAAAAGCATGAAAGGAAAAATGTTGTCTTCCTTGTATACACACAAAAACGAAAGCATCATGGAGAACAGAGGAGGAGTGAGAGCAGGAGGAGGAGAAAGGAGAGCCAATATTTCTAATTAAATCTGTATTACTTTGGTTGACCATGTACTCAATCACGGCCTTACAATAACAAAAACTGGGCAGCAAGTCTTTAGAGAGTAGTCTTTGTTATCCAAGCATGTAAGTAATGACTTCAATAGTCTTTATACTCTCTACAGTGACTGCAGAAATGCTTAGAGAAAAAAAAAAAGTAAAGTGTAATGTTGTTTTGTCTTGCATTCATGAAGAGGGGAAGAAGGGGGAGGAACATCATTGGCAACCGTGCCTTTGTCAACGTCCCTGGTCTGTGTGGGGGAAATGTGACCATGTGTGTCCAACTTGGTCCATACAGTACTGCCTGTTTGCCAAGCAAGAGGGACCAGAGCAGCCCAAATATGTTAGGTATCAAGTAATTATTTTCAGCATGTTGGTGGAAGGTATATGACGGCAACGGAGGAGGCGTGTTATGACATCCACAGCCACACCAAGCCCTTTTCACCCGGCTGCTTTGGCCGGGGAGAACATTGCAGCAGATGTAGATAAGGTCCTCCTAATCGAATATTTTGAAACTATTTGTTGGACACGGTAATACTGTTTTATGCAGTCACAGGTGTGTTTAGCCATCATAATCAAGGACTGGAGGTTTTCTGTTTACACTAATTAAATATTTGCTTTGTTACCTTTTCCTTTTTGTACACTGATTTCATCATTACATCCCCAGAACGACAGTTTCTTACTGTAGTTACATTTTTGTATTCTCTGTACTCTAACAATGTTGCATTATCAACTAGAATATGACTCTGGGAGGCTGGGCAGTGAGTTTAGAAGAAATGTGCATTGTATTATGGCAACAGTCTTCAAACTGTATGTACCATAAAATTGCAACCAATTTTGTGGGCAAAAAATCCCCAAACTTTAAAAAAAGGAAGCAATTTCTACACAAATTTATATAAATTTATATATAATAGCAACATGGACTCATGAAGCCAAAGCATATATGAACAGTATTTTGATGGTCGTGTTTTAATTTTTGATGTTCTGTAAGAGATATTCATGTGTTAGGTGTGTGTGTGTATCATCTGGTAAAAATAACTTTTGAGAAGAAGCAACGTCATCGTGTGGCGTTTCACTTTTCAAGAAATGTGTGCAGTTTTGAGAAAGCAACAGCTTTCAGGAAACATGTTTATACAATTGAAACATATATAGATAAATGATATGAAGATATATTGATTACACATTGTTTTCATTACTATCGTGATCACCTCCTTATGCCGCTGTACAGGTGTGTCTCCCCTGCACCAGTTTTCCACAGTCTGCTGGCAGCTGAAACAGCGGACACGATCAGCATGGCCAGTGAAGTAGAAGCCGGCCCGAGCCAATCGTTCTGCTGACACCTGCTGGACCAAGTTGGAGCCACGGAATGAGTCCAGACGGCTGTTCATCAGGGAAAAATCTTCCGCGTTATCTGTCTCCAAATTTCCGTCTTGTCTGGGATCACACATGATAGAGCCAAGCAGGAAACTGCTGAATGGACTGACCTTAGGGACAGAATATCTGCGGACGAAAAAAATGTTGTAGGCATTAGGGGTGTGTACATTTTAAAGTTAAGCAAATGTCTAAAAAAATATAAATAAATGAATAATATAAATTAATTATAAATGTATAAATAAAATAAGAGAAATCACTTCTTGCTACACTTTTATGAACAACGAAAGTAGCAAACAGTTTACAGTAATACAATGCATTTCAAAGGGTTCAAAAGTAGTCAAATATAAAAATCTGAATCAGAAAGCTGCTCTCGTTTAGACTCTAAGGGTTACCGTGCCTTTAAGAGAAGCAGCCTGCAATCAAATGGAGGCGTTGGATATTCCAGGTGAGGGATGGGCACCTGAGAGGCAGGATTGTCTACAGACTCAATACACTGCAATACAGGACAACTGCAAAGGGTGCAGCCCAACAACACCCACTGTGCCAAAGCCCAGCAATAATAACTGCTATTTAAGGATAGTATAGGACAGTTAGGCATAAACTGACCACCAAATAGGTATAATACGATATGTAGGACATTAAACTAAAAAGATCAGCTTTATGGAGGTCTGGCATAATATTTTAGGAAGCAAACATACAAGGTGTGTATTGTTAAATGGGTTGTAACACTTCATGGGAAGCATGCTGCATATTCTCATAAAGGAGAACTGATTATACAGATTTTCTTTTTCCACATGTAGCCTAAAGTTTTCTCTTTTTTTTTAAGAGTACATGAGTAGCATCCTCAACAGTGTTTCTACTGAATGTACACCATAAGTCGGACACAGGTAGAGAAAAAAAACCTTTGTAGTAGAAGATTTGTGTTAGTTTCCCCAGCCACTGTGTTTTGGAGGCTAGAAAACAAGTAAACTCAGCTCTGAGCACTATCACATATTGATGTATAAGACTTATGTTGTAACCAAAGCATATCGCCACTGATTAAGCAACTAGTCATCGACTTTACAGCTATCTTTAAGCCATAGTTACTAATCAAGAGGAGCAGCTTGTGATCTTTGAACTGCGTTACGTGTCAATCACCAGATCCACAACAAAGCTCAGGTATAAATGTCTGTTTTATGTGCAGTCACACAAGGCGATGTCTTCAAAGACACATCGGATTCAGTCGAAACTGCTTCGCAACAAAGTTGAAATAACATGGCGTCGTTTGTGTTTTACCACGCGACAGCAAGTCATAGCTGAGCCATCCACCCACTGTGGTTTATATTAGCGACTGGCCCCGCAAACGCTAGAAAGACCACACGGGCTTTGGTTAAACAAAAGCGACACAACAGCGCCGTAGTTTCTGACAGCTGACACCTCAGGCGTAGCATTAGCTCAGGGTTCAGACAAATGAAGCCATGAGCTAAAGGTGGGTTATTCAGCAAGGTGTAGAAACAGTCGCGTTGGACTCTGGCCAGTGCTCCTGAGCTGCAATGTTAATGTTAGTAAACAGGAGACGTGACTTTAAACCTAAAGGGCCAGCTACGAACGGCAGCTAGCTACGTTAGCTTAGCTATTCTACCTAACGTCGATGAGGTCAGAAAGTTATTTTAATGAGCTATAATTGCAAAAAAACTTCAATAGTTACCGTTTAATATCTTACAGCCAGCTCTCCCGTCTCTACTCCCAGGCGGTGTTTGATGTGAACAACGCCTACTGTTAGATCCAATGATTAAAGGGGCTGTTTAGTTGACGTGCTCTCAGGAAGCGAAAGTGACGTTGATAATGCGCACCTCGTCTGCGCATCCCAGCTGACCACCGTTGCGACGTCAGGAAACCTTTCGGCGGCTCAAAATCCCCAATGAAGAACCACAGCTTTACATGTTTGACATCATTGAGTTTTTGTACTTTCCAGTGGAGAAATCACAGTGGATGATGAGGATGATGATGATGATACCCTCTTATACCCTTTTCTTATACTCTTATACCCACCCTGTATATAAAGTATGCGTTACATTAATGCACCCATTCCTCTGCACAGCTTTCTCTTCTTATC